TTATTTATTTATTTCCAATAGAAAAATATTGGATGGTGAAAGTAGAGAAAAAACTTTAAAAGAATTGAGTAAGTTACCATTCTTAATAAGCGAATTAAATTGTTAATTAATTAATCAATAATTAAAATAAATTGGAATAATGTTTTTTAGATCTCTCTCCATCAGCAGCTTTGGTTGTAAATCTTTCATAAACAACGCAAATAAAAAATATTTAATATTGTTAATTTATCAAGTAGTTTTGTTTTTATTTGATGGAAATTGAAAATACAATTAAAATAAAACCAATTTCACTACTTTGCACCATTATTGTATTATTTATTTTTAAATAAATGCTTACACCACGCGTAATTAGAATAGTGATAGCAGTGATGTATGGTGCTGATCCAAGATCGTCAAAATTTCATAAATGATGAAATATATTTTGTTTGTAAATAAATCACCCTATTTACTCTATTATTAATGCATGAAATGCACAGACATACTCTGATAAAATCAGATTAACAATATACTTTTTTACATAGTAAGAGGACTAGGTCAAATTTGCATCGCAGTTCACGATGGGGGTGATAATAGAATAGACCATAAAACGCTAAATCAAGGAGAATCAGCCAGACTGTAAGTTGCATGATTTTTTTAATGGCATTTATATATCTCACCGCACTGTGTGATCATAGGTCAATTCAAAAAAAGGAAAATGGTTCATATTTGTTAGTTAAAAACGAAAGAATATATCCTTGATAATGTCATTGGAAATCCGGGACAATCAGAAAATCAGACAGCAGGAGGGATAGAATTAGAATTTGTATTCATTAGTAGTAAACCAGGATATTTCCAAGAAGATGCAGGTGGTGGTAACATCAAGAGTGAATAATATATATGTGTTTTAATACATATTTAATAAAATATTGTTACGCCTTTTTTGGGCGCTAGTTTTATAATTCATCAATTACATGATACCAAATATCAGATGCGAATGCATGGGTTTGAAACTCTAAGCTTTGCTTCTCCTCGCTCTGTGAGACTGATTTGTAATACTTTTGCCTCCACTGCAAAATTTGTAGACGTCAACATCCATGTTTATCCAAGATTAATCGGAATTTAAATTTTTGTGGACATTAACTGACAAAATAGAATTATTTTTCTGTGAAAAGCAGGGCTGGATACAAATTATCTGGCTAAAAATTTGTATGAATTGAGTATGGTTTTTTCTTTCATAATATCATCAAACCATGCAGTACTTAGCCCCGAAGCCAATATACTGTGACGCAATAACTCTTCACCAATTAACCTATCTCGATCTGTCAATTATATATATTTTTTAGGATCTTCCCCTTGCTTTACCGCAGAATGATAAAAGTGCATATCTCTTTCTAGTTCGTCATGGAAATATTTTACGTCTCACCTTTTTTTCTCAGCTTCAGTAATGATCAAGAATTGTTCAAGACCAACCATAACTATAAAGATGGGGGAGTTGATACATATAGGTTGGATATTTATGTGTACTCGAGTTGAAGTGAAAAAGTGTTGTTAGAAGTACTCCATCAAAGATATTATCAAGAAAGGTTTTGGCCCACATCGGGCAAATTAAAACACTTGATTTTTCCAATGCGCTGAACACAGCATGTACTAAAAAAAAGAACTACCCTAGCAATAAGACCACATTCATAAACAAAACCATATTAATATCATAAAGATACTGAATAACCATAAATTTTCATATCAGAAATATAAACTATATAGCAATGATTTATTTGATTTATAACAATCTAGCTCATGTGGGTGGCAACCGCAACATGTAACCACTGAGTGGGTTATCAGAAAGAAGTTTGTAAGTTTTTGCAATCTTGAGTTTCTGTATAACATTCAATACATTGGATAATTCATTTCTAAAAGAAAGCATGACCTCAATAATATCATACAAATAGCATAAGTCTAACACTCTTCTTGGCAATGAGAACTGGAAAAACGTTTTTTTGCAATATAGTCCACGACCAACAATATATGCAGTTGAAATAGTGCAATTATATTCTATAAATAACAAATTACGTGTTAAATTTCAAAAGTGTAAAATAACAAAAATAACAATTGCAACAGAAAGGGCAAAACTTTACTTTCATCAGTTTGAAAACCGAATACTCTGAGTTTCTTAGCAACCTCAATATCACACATTTTATAATCTTCCAGATGGTCATTGGGCACGTCAATCATGCACCGTTCAAGTTTTACTTTATCTCCCTCTGCATGTCTCTTTGGAAGACGGGATGGTGCTCCGGATAGCTCAAAAATAAGAAGTTCTTTATCATCTAGATTGACGAGAGATCCTATACCATCAGCTTTTGAACCAATTCTACGTCTTTTGCCTTCTTCGAGATGTAAATTTCGGCGGTTTGCTGAGGGCACGCTTGAAATTTCACCCCTACAATCAAAAAGAAAGAGTTATTAACCACAGAAACAAGCCATCAAAAAAAAAGTTGCTTACCAAGTTATATCCATATTTTTGAATATAAAAATAAAAGGCTCAATTATGGGTTCAATAAAACGTACACGAAATGTTGACTCGGTGCCTGGTCGTTGTGCAAAATATCCTGGTCGGTTCTCGAAACAAAAAAATACTATCATTATGGTATTATTAGTTAAGGGTAATTTCGGTTCTTCATACAATAAAATTATACCAACAGCACTTACAAATGATCCACAACTTTACGAGTGTATCTATCTTCTTCCGAAGTTACTTTTTTATATGACTCAAATGATTCACGAATTTTTTCGATATTCGTTTCTTTCAAATAGCAGTCAAATTGTTCTTCAACAGATTTAGGCAATTTTATTGATGGTGATTGTGATTCAGAAATAATTTTTAACCACTCTTCAACTGTAAAGAATGGAGGTCTCTTTTGTTCTGTTGCATTATCAAGGTCGATAATGTCTGCAAAATATTCTTCTCTATATAGAAGAATAATAAATGTGAATAAGTCTATAATGTTAAATTGCAAGAAGCCATTACTCACTCTTCGGATTGTTCTTCATCACTATTAAAGCCCTCTGTATACAATTCATCTTGATTATCATCTTTAGATTTGGGGATTGAATCATTTCTATTTTCGACCAGAACATCTTGGAGTCGATCTTCTTTGGATTTAGGAATTAAATCGTTTCAATCTTCGACCTGAATGTAAAGGTAAAGTATATTCTAAGCAGAAAAAATGGTGCGATGTGCAGAAAGTAAGTACTAACCAGTTCAGCAAATCCATTGAAGTGTAAAGAAAATAATTTGTTCCCGAGCTTTCTTTTTTCAATGTCTTCCCAGAATTTGATGACAGCTTGAGATTTGGTTTCATTCTAAGTTAGAAAAGAATATATAAACAAAAATAATCAAACAAGGGTCTCGATTTACTGCGGTACCAAGGCAGAAGATGATCTAACAGAAAACCGAGCTCCGTGAAAGATGGGGTAAAATCAGAGGATTATACCACAAGATGAAAGCAGAGGATCACTGTGGCTCCCATCTTCCCGCTGATACCACTCTCCGAAAGCGGAGGAAAGCAGAGGATCTATTCCTGAGTCCAAAGCATAGGATGAACGCAGGAGCGGTACCACCGTAAGCTCGCACAAATAAAATGCAAATACATAACCTTATAATTATGGACACTTTTATCTGCTAGTTTCTGAATCCGTGCATCAGGATGATCTTTCGAGATGTCGGTAATTGCTTCAATTCAATCTCTGTGCGTTCTTTGTCTATCTGTGACAGCAATATTTAAAAAACATAAATATTCGAGGAGGCGATTTGACACGTTGGGTTTCTCTAAAATCTTTACAACTGTGTTCCATTCTTCAGAAGCTTTGCGTTTTGACATTTTTTTTTTATAAATTACACAAAAGAAAAACATTTGGACCAATTTATTCGGTGACACAGAAAAAATGCATAAACGTCACGCGGGTTATTAAGGTCATCGAGCCATGCAATACTTAAACCACTTTTTAGTATGCTACAACGCAACAACTCTTCACCAATTAATCTATCCCGAATACTATTTAGTTGAAGATTGATTTTTATGCAACTTCATATAACATGCAGAAAAACTGACACAAGAGGCTTGATTTATTGATAATATAGAAAAAAATACATCAGTTCGAGTGTGGCTAAACCAAACTCTACACATGTAAAAAACTATTTAACTAGGTTTATGTAATTGAATATGTCCATCGGTACCATGATAACCACACGATGTTGCATATGCCCGCCGAATTGTTTTCTTGCTAGAACCATGCTTAAAAACCAAAGTGCTTCAATAATTTTATCAAAAAAAAACCACATCTCCATCTCCAACCCCAACTCCAACTCCAATTCCGCTACATTGGATGCAATTATAAAAAAATTAAAACGAGATAATTTAGCTATAAAAAACGAAATTGCAAGAATGCAAAAAGAATCAGAATGGAGAAGTGAAGTCCGAAGTCAAGGTTTATGTTACAGTATAGCCACTATATGACTGCCTTTGGCAAGTTTAGCATGTATTCCATGTGTTGATTAATATGGTGCATATTTCTTATTAGGGCAAGCATCTGTAAAAAGTCTCCAGTCCGAATATACAGAAGCAACCGAAACTCTTTGGGTTGAATTTACAACATTATTTAACGAAATAAGGAAAAAAGAAAAACGTTCCCCCACAAAATTGTACTAGTAGTAGCAGTAATAGCAATAGAAATAATTTAAGTAACAGTAATATAATCTTAGACGATAATAGTAATGATGATAGCTAGTGTGGGGCGGGGAAAGGAACATTTCTTTACTGTGTAAAAGGCTTAGATATTAGGCAGACAACAGTTAAAATAGCACAGTTAATGATATGGAGTAGCAGGAAGGAACTCTCATTTTATGGGTTAGGGCTTGAGGAATTCCTCCCTTTTGACTTGCTACTCTATTATTGATTTTTTAGTTATATAATATGTATAATAAACATATACATATAAGGGTTTATTAAAAAAATATGCAACATCTAATCTTGAAACCTGATAAACACTGTATCTTTACTCAAACTCTCTATCTTAAATGAATGATAATCTTCAGAGTATGACACATATATAAAATCCTTCTGCAGTTTTCGAACCTTTTTTGACTCACTGCAAATATCAATAATAGCTATACTCTTTGCATACTTAGCAATCTCTCTATATTCTCCTGCAGTTTCAAGCCCCCTATGTTGTTCAGCCATACCTTTCCCTTCTCTTAAGATTTTGATCACCCAGTTTAACTCATCCACATAGAAATCAATATATCCATCACATATAAAAGTAGCACCTACATCACATGATAAAAAATAATGATCTCCAAGCTGACGTTGTCCAACTCTATAAAATTCTTTTTGCCATGTTTGTTCTAGAAGGTAAATTCCACTGAGATTACAATGATTAAAACGGGTTTATATATTTTACAAAAATATGGCTATACAATTATAATTGTCTATTTATATTTAAATTTCCAATATTCTTAATTCCTTTATATCTGTTAAAGAAAGACCTCATTAATAATCAATCATTAAAAATAATAAAAAACAATAATATATAAATAACTTATTACTATTGAAATATTTTCTTTCTTCTGCAGTTTCATCGAAGAGGTAAATTATAATTTTAGTAATCATAATAATTATGTTATATTATTAGAAGAAAGGGAAAAATATTAAATCACAAAAGAATTTTCACACCTTTCTTATCAATAAGTAAAACAAAGATGTAATAATATATAAAGAACCTATTACTTGAAATATTTTCTTTCTTCTGCAGTTTCATTGAAGAGATAAATTATAATTTTAGTAATCATAATAATTGTTATATTATTAGAAGAAAGGGAAAAAATATTAAATTTACAAAAAGAATATACCTTTCTTATCAATATTTATTATAAATAAAACAAAGATGTATATATATTAATATGTATCCTTTAATGAATTTTGCAATATCTTCCAACGAAATCTTACAAAAACTTCTGCTAAGTTTGTTGGTAAGAACATAATTATATTAAAAAAATATATACTTGACTATTCATCTTAAAATAAATAAATATTAGTTTTTGTTTTTATTAGCTTTTATTATTTATTTAAAATGGCAATGTATTTAAAAACCAAATGTATAACTTCTAACCACTAATTATTTACCATTTCTTTATGAAACTATATCTAAAATTTTACAAGGCAATAAAATAAATCTCAAAGAATGTGTGTACAAAATATCATGTTCTTTGTTAAAAATTACGTGCATGACAAACAAAAAAGTTACTTTGATTTTAATACAGTCAGGATTATTACCAAATATGGAATTTCCAAATACTGTAAGGATAGACAATCTAGAAAACTTTTAGAAAAAAAAACAAAACAAAAATGATTGGCTAATTTTATGCAGATCTTTTCTTTGAAAAAAATTGATAAATAAAATAAATTAAAAATAATGCTTTTTTATGAAGAAAACATGGCGAAGGCTTTATTAAATGGTCATATAACCTCCAAAATTTTATGTATTACGTTTATTTTTAACTGCTTTACAAATCTATCAAAAAATAATCAATAGCTTCAAATTATAATCATAAAATTACCATAAAAACACAATAACTTTTTTCATAATACTGATGAAATGTTTGAGTTATCAACCTGTTATTCATTCTTATTCGTCAGGAATCTTGTTATTAAAATTAATAAAATTAATAAATAGTATCATGAAATATATTATAGTTATAAATTAATTTGTAAGCTTTTTGGTATAAATAAAGCCTATGCTAAATTTTGTATATATATATATATATATATATATATACACATAGGCAACCCCGTTAATCCGAACCCCGTTAATCCGAACCCCGTTAATCCGAACCCCGTTAATCTGAAAACCCCGTTAAAATGAATAATTTTTAAAACACCAAAGCCAAACATATGTAAATTACCCCATTAATATGAATGTCACTAATAAAACTTTATAAACCGTAAACCGAAGAAATTTTTAAGTTTTTTGAAGCCATTTATATGTAAAATTGTCCCATTAATCCAAATTTTTATAAACCGAAGTGAAATAAAAATTGGACCAATAATAATAATATACAAGTTATACAAATACATATGTATGTTGTGTGTGAAATTGAAATCTATAATTAAAATTTTGGGGTGGAATGTTTGGATATGAAATTCTGATTGGCTAATTTGAATATGTGCAAATTCACAAATTTCATTTTCATGCACAACATGTACAAAAATTAATAACCAGGGTAGACTTTCCTCTAGTGCAAACAAGAGGAAAGAAAACATACACTTATAACAATCTCAAAAAATATAAATATGCATTGAAAAAAAAAAGACCAAATATAAAAAACAACCAGCTTGCATCTAAATATAATGCCAGTAAATCTATTGTTTCTGAAATTCTAAAAAAGAGCAATTATTTTTTAGCATTGAATCCAAATCAATTCACTGCCAGAAAATGGATAAAGGAAATTCTAAATCCTAAATTTTGATTTATTACCCTGTTTATCCAAATTAATTTATGACTCTAATAATAACTTCAGATTATAAAAAAAACCCATTAATCTGAAACCCCATTAATCTGAAGAAAAGTTCCTGCACAATTGCCTTCGGTTTAATGGGTTGCCTATGTATATATTATATTACTTCTTTACCTGCTTATAATTAATTCACTATTATAATTGTTTTCATCATCACTTGTAAATAATTCTAAT